CTCAGTGGAAAGGGAGTGGGAGTCTATTTCCTTCTTCTTTGTGTCCCAAAGTTTCTACAATGAACAGGTTATTCCTTTTGTTATTAGGAATAGAGCCTGTAAGTTACTTTCTTTTAGTATTTTTATTTGTTTGACGATTGAAGGAAAATAGTTTCATGTGCTTGGGTCAGGACCGGGCTGGAATCAGAGAATCTTGGCAGTGGGGTTCTTCGCTGGCCTTCACTCTCCAGCTTCCAGGAGAAGGACATGGGTGTGTAGACTGCATTTGGGGACCACACTGGCGCTCCCCTGCCACACAGATCCAAGACTACATAGAAGGTGGGCCGTTCTGGGTTATGCTGGGTCATCCTCTGCCCAGAGGTCTATTCACAGCTAGGCCAGAGGCTGACGTCACCCGTCTAATTGCCTTTGGGAACTGGCCTTCTCCCCAGACTCACACACCCCTCGGGTTCCACCCAGCCTAGCTAGACTCTGTCAATAATATTTCAGACAAAACATCTCTAAGATATTCAGCATTTGCTATGGCTTCATGACTATCCTGAAATGAATGAAATGGAGACCTAATGTGATCCTAATCCCCAAAGAGATTTCAACAAAGTTCCAAAACGACCCCTGGCAGGTGCAGTGAAGCCCCAGGTCGAGCGCCATCATTTCAGCGGTGAGTTGATATTGACATAATGCTTCCCTGATGTTCTTAGAATAAGGATCATACCCCCACCACGATCGGGCAGACCTTGGATCGTCTGGTGCCTGCATACGTCTCCAGTCTCACCCAGCCTCTCCTATCCTTGTTCCCTCCACTCCAACCATGGCAACATTCCTTCCTCCAGACTCAGGGCCATTGTCTATGCTCTTTCTTCTTCTAGTGATGCTGTTCCCTCATCTTTCAAATATCTCTTCCTCAGAGAAGTCCTTCCTCATCCCCTAGACGGGTCAGACCCCCTAGCTAATTCTCTATGGCACTGAGTAGCTCTCATTCACAGCTTTTATCTCAGTTTGTTATTACATAGTTTTAATTAGTTGATTAATGTTTACCCTATTAGAGAAAAGGAGGACAGGGGCTGATCTATCTTGTTTACTCTTCTGTCCACAGTGCCCTAGCATGCAGGAGGTGCTCAAATATTTGTTAAATAAATAAACCTTCTGGAAGACACTTAGCTTTCCATCTTCACTGCCTGTGGAACTAGACATTCCAAATCTTGCATTCTATGGGTCTGCAAATGTCACAGTCATTTTCTACACAGGCAGAAACGGCTTGTTCACTGCTCTATTCTACATGCCTCACACCAAGTTAAGAAGATAGAGAACATTCAATACACAACATAAAGTCTCTTTCTAAGTGTTGCGCGTGGGGAGGTTAAGAATTGCCCAAATATTGGCTCACGTCTTACTATCTCTTCTTCCTTTTCACTTACCCCCTCCTCAGCATGTCACCTTTCTCCAACTTACCCATGCTGAACGAAGGCCCTTGAAAGGTAAATGGGGCACCTCCCACCTGACACACCCATATTCACTTCTCAAGATTCAACTCAAAAGTCACCTTTGTCTTCTGCCTGTCCTTCCTCCCTAACGTGGGCAACCGGCAGAGCTTTTATCTTCCTGACAAGTAGTTTTGGTATTTGTCTGTTCTCAGCAGAATCACAGACTTTTTGAGAGCAAGGGCTTTGCCCCAGACATCTGTCTCTGCAGAAATGGAAACGCATGTGGCCCTCATACACGCACGCTGGGTAAATGAACTGATTGGTGGGAAGAGCTGAAACAGACACAAGCAAGTGCCTCTGGACCCCTCCAGGCCCCAGGCCCCTCCATCCATCTCAGGCCCCTCAGGCTCTCAGGTGATGTTAGTACATCGAGTACCGCATAGAAATCTCTAAGACATACGCCAGGGTCGAATGACCAAAATACAATGTAACTGCAATGCTTTATGAGCTCGTGCAGTTATATAGTTTTTTGTAGATTGACCTGCACAGTTTCCACCAATGAGATCGCTTCATTCGATGTGGACAAGTCAGTGTGTTGACATCTAAAGTCCATAACAGATGGCTCGTGAAAAACGAGAAAACTCGTGAGTGGTCCTTAACAGATGGCGCGCAAAACACACGAAAACCCGTGAGCGGTACGCAATGGGTTAGGAGACCTGGCTCTTGCGCTCACTCTCTGAGGTTCCAGGAAGACATTCCTTCCTCTACTAGTGGACGTGGTCAGCCACCAAGGGAGGTTCCTCAAGTATAGCTGTGGCCTTCCCATGCCCAATGGCTTCATGCAGAGTAGCCTTTCCCCAACCCCAAACTCTTCCCTAGATCTATTTCTTTTTAACAGCTTTATTGAGATACAATTCACACATTTAGAATGTATAGTTCAGAGGTTTTTAGTATATTCACAGAACTGTACAAGCATCAACCCCAATCAATTTAGGACATTTTCATCACCCCCAAAAGAAACCCCCTATGTACTCCCATTACTCCCAAACCCTCCAGCCTAAAGCAACCACTAATCCACTTTCTGTCTCTATAAATTTGCCTATTCTGGACATTTCATCTAACTGGAATCATATACTACGGGGCCTTTTGTGGCTGGCTTCTTTCATTTAGCATCATGTCTTCAAGGTTCATCCGTGTTCTAACATGTGAGAGTAGTTCATTCCATTTTCTGCAGAATAATATTCCATTATATAGCTATACCACATTTTATTTATCCATTCATCAGTTTATAGACATTTGGGTTGTTTCTACATTGCGATTATTATGAATAATGCTGCTGTGAGCCTTCATGTACAAATTTTTGTGTGGACATGTTCTCATTTCTCTTGAGTATATACCTATAAGTGGAATTGCTGGATCATGTGGCAACTCTATGTTTCATAGTCTGAGTAACTGACTGCCTGACTGTTTGCCAAAGTGGCTGTATCTGTTTGACATTCCCAAAGCAAAGAAAGGAAGCTGTTCTCCAAAGGAGGAGCCTTTCCAATGATTTCTTAAGGTAATATATTGATAGGTCCATTGATCAGACCATGATGAAAACACTGTAGAGGAAGCCTGGGACAGAGCGTCATACAAGTGAGACATCAGTGGTCAAACTGAGAGGCCCATAGAGTGCCCAAAGGGTGGCACCATGTTACCTGCTTCTGCCCTCCCGCAGTGCTAGAATGTGGCTATGCATTTTCTGACAAAGAATAAAAATGAACATCAAAAGCCCAAGCAGGTGCCCCAGGAAGGAGGAGAATGGGGAGAAGGTAGACAAGAGGCCCAAGCAGACAGTCCTAGTCTCCCTGTTGTAACTGGACCACAATGCAAGAGCCATTCACTCCCAGGGGATCTGCTCAAATCAGCCTGCAGCCACAGCGAGCTCCCCAGGGAAGGCTGGAGGGGCGACAAGCCGTTGGGCATAATTTTGTGAGGGGCGCACAGAGAAGCAATTCTCCAAGGCCTGTTCTCTTCTTCGGCACAAGCCCCATCAGTGTCACCTGCAGCCTGGCACACGGGCCACAGGCGGGAGCTAACTGGGGCACTTAAAATGAAGTGGAGGATTCTCCAGTCTTTGCCCACCAGACTCATAGACCAACACTGAGCCTCCTCATCCACACAACCCTTTGTCCACAGACCAAGATGGACGCTTCTGATCCCAACTTTGTCCACCATCATTCAATTCAGGTATGTCTTCCAGTGTTTAGGTATCACCCCACCCATCTTTTAAGGATAGGAGGTAAACTGGTCCCCTCTCTTTGGCTGATCAGATCTCTCTTAATAGGACCCCCCCCCCCAAAAAAAATGCTGCTCAGTACAACTTTTTTTTTATTGGTAGTAACTAACATTCCCATACTTGCTAATTTGGGGGCCATCTAGACGCCATTCTTAGAGAAAAGGAAACTCAATCCCCTTCCCTTCAGATGTGGCCCAAGCAGGAAATGAGAGACACCTCTACACGCACCAGAATGACAGTGTTATGAATGCGTGGGCAGCTCTCGCCCTGTGTCCAGCCCCTGGGGCTGGGCCACCTTAGCAGGCCCAGCTCGCTATCCCTGTTCCTGTCCCCGCGTTCTTTTCTCCACATCCCGCTTCAAAACGGCCACTTCCCCCTTCACCGTTCTTGCTGCAAACATTACAAGGAGCGGAGAGTCACGAACAGTCCAACCCAGTTTCAAAACCCAGCAAACGGGAAAGGTGCTTAAGATTAAATTTTTTTAAAGAAAAAAATGGAAGGGAGAAAAGAATGGGGAACAACAGAACAGGCCGGGCAACAGCTGCCCTAGCGGAAGGCCGCTGCGCTGACACACTCAGCCTAATCTTCAGCCTGCTTGGCTCCACAGGTGACCCCCATTCAGGCAACTCCGCCTCTCCAAAGTAAGCACGGGCTCCTCTGCAGAGGCCTTCCTCATTGATCATTTGCCTTCCAGTCCCCTGAGATCTGAGCTCTCCCCGCCCCTTGGAACTTGATAGGGCAGGGTCCAGGACAGCTACCCCGGGATCTCAATTCTTTTTCCCCACCCTGGAACGCGAGACCTTTGGACTCCCTTCCACGGACGAAAGTGCGCACAAAGAGGGGAGCCCAGAGTGCTGGGTTCGGAGGAAAGAGGAGGCCGGGCCGGGGAGGAGGTCGGGTTTCGCTGCCTCAGCGCCGCGGCCTGGGCGACTCTTCCGCCCCCGCGGCTCGGGTTCGAAGCGGCGGGGCCTGGAGAAGAGGAAGAGGTAAAGGAACTTCAGCCCGCGGTTTCCATCAGGAGCCGGTGAGGCTACGCAGAAGGGTGGCTGGAAGCGCTTGGGACCTCGGAGATGGGTCCTCGGGCACAAGGGCCTGGGAGAAGGGCTGAGTTCCGAGTTGGGGGCTGCACAACCAACTTTCGAGGAGGAAGACTTCCTCCAACTTAACTTTGGCGCCGCCGTCCCCCGCCCGCGGCGCGATGCTCCCGCGGGTTCCGCCTGGCGCGCCCCCTCCCGGGCCCGGATCCCTTCCTTCCTGGGCCACTCCGTTTGACCCCGGCCTTGAGGCCCCGCCTCTCTTACCATCTGCGCCACTTTCAACAGGGCCCCATGCGTGCGGGGGTAGACCGGGTCCAGCAGACCCTCCGAGGGGCTCGCGCTCCGCTGTCCCCCGCCAGCCCTGGGTCCGAACGCGCTGCCGCTGCTGCACGTGGTGCGGACGAGCCCAGCTCCGTGCGACATCGCGCGGCCCTGCCAGCTGGCCGCCTCCCCCGGCCCGGGGACCTAGGGACCAGATAAGGCGGGGCGGGCACGGGGCGGGGCCGGGGGCGGGGCCTTCTCGCGGGTATGCAGTCCGCCGGCGGTAGGGAGGGCGGGGCGCACGCGTCCCCTGCCAAGGCGGGCAACGCCCATCCAGCTGTGGGGAACCGAGCTGGGAGGGGCTGGCCGGGCGCTTTCCGGAAAGGTACTGCAGGGAGGAGGCTGAAGCCTTCCCGAAGTGGGCAAGGCGGGGGCCACAGCTGGGCTGAGCCTCCTAGGACCGTGTGTGGGTGCAGATGTGCGCTAAGAGAATCTACTTAAAGTATAACTTGCATACACTAAAATGTCCAAACCCTCCGTGTTCAGCTCCTCTAACTTTTCTGTGTGTCTACGGCTGTGTAGCCACCACCCAGATCAACAAAAAAAATATGCCAATACCCCCAAAAGTTCCCTCCTACTCCTTCTCAGTCTGCCTTTCCTCAGTGCACTCCCTTTTCTGCCACGCTTCAGGTATCAGGATAGTCTGCTTTTATCACTATAGTTCTGCGAATTCAACGTCAACAAGACCCAATTTGGGGTGCAGTGAAGAAGGAAACTTTATTCAGTGCAACAGCTCACTTGTGATACTTCACCGCTGTGGAACAGCTCAATGGCGTTACAGCTCAATTATGAAGCAGCAAGGCTGTGAACAGCATAGCTCTTAGGATGCACTAGGCAAGACTACTCTTAAGTTGTCTGTTCCGCTCCGCTCCATGCCTGTCTCGTCAGGTCTGGTCTGGTCTGTTCTCCTCTGCCCGGCCTTGTTCTGTCTGCTCTTTTGCACTCTGGTCCCGCCAAGTGCCTTTGGTGTTTCATCTTTGTTTCCGTTCTAGCCAGGGAACCTCAGTCTTCAGTGGAAAGGGAAAATATATATCCTCAGAGCCAGAGGGGAGCTACCTTATATAGACAGAAGTCCCTGACCTGGGTCACTGATTGGTCCATCCTCATGCAAATAAGGACTTCAGATCCTCCCAGGTTGGTCCAAAAGACACTGTCCTGGTTGGTCAGAATAGAACCACTCTGGTCAGTTGGTGAAGGTGATAGGGAAATCCTTTGTCTTATTGGTTGAAATATAATTCCAAAAACCTCCTTTATAAGGGCTGGATGGCAAGAATCCAGGGCAGGAAAACAGTTCAGAGCAGGAGGCCTGCAGCTAAGTGCAGGCTTCTCCTTGAAGTCTGGTTTGCATGAGAGGCCCCTGTGTAGAAAAGACTGGTAGGCTCTGTGTTTTTTTTGTTTTGGTTCTTGTTCTGGTTTTTTGTTTGTTTGTTTGTTTGTTTTTAAATATCACTAGAAGTTTGAGAACCAGTCATTGCCAAAGTTGAGACATTGTTAGTTTTCATGATGCCTCTGGTATCTGTCTTTTCTTTAGAGAGCAGTCACCTGGTACATCCATTTCTCTCTCTGTAAAACAATGACAATTGCACCCGGGGGCTGCTGCGACAATGCAATAGACACGCAGGCATTCTGTTACATTTCCAGCTCTGTACCCCAGGCATGAAGTCGGTCCTGTGGATTATTTTTCGTGTAGATTTACATTTTCACTCTTGTCCTTGTCACCCCTATACAAGCAGCGTGGCCTTCATCCAATTCTCCAGTAATCTTCTAAATCAGTGACTTTCAATGTATGCTCCCCAGACCAGAGAAGCATCTGGGAACTTGTGGGAAATGTGAATTCTTGCACCCCACCCAGAGCTGCTGAATCGGAAACTCTGGGGGCGAGGCTCAGCCTCCCCAGCTCCCCCAGGACTCAGGTGCATGCTGGAATTTGAGACCACTGTCGTTTCCTGAGCTCACTGGAGTTGACACTTTGCTGGGTTTCTTTGACTGCTCTTGGCCAATGTGTCCCCAGCCCAGATAAGAAATTATCACTGGCCGTGGCCACTCTGTTAATCGCTTCATCATGATATGTAAGAGATTGAGCAAGATGCTTGGCAGGACAAGAGCTGCGTGCTGGCCTGGTGTTTACGAAGCGGCTCCAAAAAGCAGACCTGCTGCCAAGTACACTGGGGCGTCTACACGGCTGTGAAGGGCTGCCCCCTGGGGGAGCAAGAGCTGAGGCCAGGAACTCCATAGCCCCCTTTAAAGATTTCACACTCGAAGAGGGAACAAGCCAGATGGGGAGCTGGTGAGAATTCAGGAATTTCCCAGTTCTTCTCCATCCACCTACCCTGAGCGGTGCAGGTTCCCAGGCTTCCACTGTCTGACCACAACTCACTCACACCAATGTGATTAGGATGATCTAGCTGGGCAGAATATAATAAAAAAGAATAATAAAATGAGAGAGGACTCTATATCAGTCAGTGCTTTTGGTTGCAAGTGACAGGAACTAAACTCAAGCAAAAAGAATTCATTGGCTTGTGTACCTGTGGAATGCCAGACGTGAAACCTATTTCAGGCACAGTTGGATCCAGGTACTCAAATCAGGCAGTCGGGGCCTCTGCCTCATAGATTTAACCCCTCTGCGTTTGCTTGACTCTCAGGCAGGCCCTCTCATGGCATCTGGCAGCACATAGCTCCCCCTGGCTAATAATCCCATCTCTTTATAAGGGTACCTGGTTCCCTGTGGTTCTGGCACAGTGTTAATCTGTTTAAGATGCTGTAACAAGATATCGCAGTTTGGCTGCTTTAAACAACAGATTTAATTTCTCAGTTTTGGAGGCTCGAAGTCCAAGATCAAGGTGTCATTGGGATTGATTTCTGGTGAGACCTCTCCCTGGTTTGTAGACAGCCACCCTCTCACTGTGTCCCCACACGGTCCTTCCTCTCTGAGTGAAGAGAGAAAAAGAGAGGGGGAGAAATCTAGCGTCTCTTCCTCTTGGATTAAGACCCCACCCTTAGGATGTCATTTAACCTTATCTCCCTAAAGGCCCTATTTCGAACACAGTCATATGGGAGGTTAGGGTTTCGACACAGGAATTTTGGTCGGGGGGAGGGGGCGGATAGAATTTAGTCCATTACAGGCCTTCTCATTCATCCAAATATGGGTCATGGCTCCATCTTTCACCCAATCATTATATCCGAAGGGGTGGACCGCTTTTATTGGTCAGGCCAAGTTCCATTTGTGCATGGAGCTGGGGATGAGTAGCTCTCCGGAACCACAGGAACTGAGTGGGGGAGGGGTGATTCCCCCAAGAAAAACCAAGGTGCAGTTCCAGAAAGGGGAAGGAATATTTGGCAGTGTTATGGGTTGAATAGGTACCCCCCCACCCCAATTCCAATGTAGAGGTCCTAACCTCTAATGTATTGTCTTGGAGATGGGGCCTTTGGGAGGTAATTAAGGTTAGATAAGGTCACAAGGGTAGAGTTTTCATAATGGCATTAGTGCCCTTATAAGACACACCAGATCTCTCTCCCCCTCCCTTCCTTACAGCAAAAGGCAGCTTATCTGCAAGCCAGGAAGACACCTCTGCCCAGAACCCGCATTGGCTGGTACCCTGATCGTGGACTTCCCAGCCTTCAGGACTGTGAGAAAATAAATTTCTCTTGTTGAAGGCACCAAGTATATGATATTTTGTTTGTTACCATAGCCCAAGCTGACTAAGACAGAGAGGAAAAAGTAGCAGGTCTCCATGGCACGTCTCAGTAGCTGCTTTTTAAATCCTTTTCCAGCAAATTTTTAAAGTTTATTAACCTTTGTGTTCCTATTTGTGAAATGGGCTGATACCACTTGTCTTTGAGCTCCAAACAGAAATGAATTTGGAAATGTTAAGAAAGGTAATAAAACAATATACAAATGTAGGGAATAATTAGCTTTTTGTGCTAATGTTTTCTACCAGAATTGGCATTTCTTCAATGAAATTCTCAGGAGAGAGGAGGACAGGGGAGGGGAGGGCAGGAGAGAAGAGGCTCTTTCCTACCTTATCCATGAAATCTTTCATAAAGGAGATAAATGATGGTCAAAGACGTCTCCACCTCCCTTCGAGAGGAGACAAAGGCAATGGGTATAGTCCCCTGAATGGTTTTCATGCAATTGCTCTGGGCACTTGTCCACCTTTCTAAGGTGATGCGATGTTATTTTTCACACTAATAGTGAGGATCCTGGTTTTTCCAACCTGCTGAAACCAGGGCCTTCTATTGCTTTTTATTTTAAAATACGAGTTGTTTCCTGGTCGTGAATCTATTTCCTGCTCATAGTAGAAAATTGGGGGAAGTTCCAAAAAACAAAGAAAACAAAAACCAGCCCACAATCCCACCATTCTTTACAATTGAGTTTGCTCTGCCTTTTGTAAACTTCAAGTTATACCATAAACACTTCCTATTAAAAATTCCTCAGTGTTTAGTGGCAGCATCAATTTTTGCATGTGTGTACTACTTACTTTTCTCCATTATATATTTTTAGAAAGACAGCACTTGAACCGATCTTCCATTTAATCACCAATCTTGCAACCATGGTTCAGCACAGCTTGAGAAGTGTGTTCAGAACAAAAAGTTAAATCATTAATGATGGTGCTAACCAATTCTGATTCTGAATATACCTGGGAGGTGAGTGGGTTGTAGTGCAGTAATGTCTAAAGGCTTGTTGAGTGGATTTGTTTAAACTTTCTCCTACTATGGGGGTTTTAGGCTGATCCTTTTTTTTTTTATACCTGCTATACAGAGGACCAAGGTTAACACCCTTGTGCATGAATCTTAGACTCCTAAGAGAGGGGTTCCCAAGTCCAAGAGAATGAATATTTTTTTAAGGCTCATCATATATATTGCCAAGTAGATTTCTGGCAGTGTTGTACTACGTCATCCCCACACCCTATACATATAGTTTTCATCTGGTTCCTTTCCAGAGGACAGATGTTTTCAGTCACCGAGGCAGAGGCGCTGGGACCAGGGGTGAGAAGACCTCCGTGTCAGCCCAAGCTGTTCTCATCACTTGCTCTGTAACCTTGGACAAGTCACTGACCACCCAGTGAAGACTCAGTTATCCTCATCAGGTAAGTTTGGCCACAGACACCTGTTTTATCTAAGGCAAAGATGGTTTGAGGATCAACTGGCATGGTGTTTGAAAACCAGCTAGTCAAGTATAAAAGTGTAGGTTCAATCGTATGACATTGCCATTTTTGTAGGTCAAAGAGGCAAATATTGGCTATTTCACTTGGTTCAACCTAATGCCCTATCCTTAAGTGGTTGGAAGTTGTTAAACAATTGGTCATGGATGTGTTCCGGAAACCAATCAGCCGTTGTGTGTTTTCCCAGGTACCTAGCTCACTAACCACCTGGTAGCTGTTTTATGAAGCACTTTTCTGACAACCTATTTCCAAGCTCCATAAATAGATCCACAGATTCAGCGCTTCACCCGCCGGTCCCCCTGTAACGCCCAGGACCCTCACTTGTCCAGACCACCCCGCCCACATCTCCTGGGCAGGCCCGTATTCTGACAGCTCTGGTTTCGGTCACACTCAGGTTCGCCCTCTATAGGTTTATCTCATCTTTGTCCTCTAACTTGCTCATCCTTCCTTCTCCTGGGACTCTGCATTAACTTCCCAGTATGTTTGCCGCAGCAGGTGTTTATTGAACACGTACTGTGTTCCAGGCACTCTGCTGAGCTCCAGAGGGAAGCCGGAACCGAAAACCCACCATCCCAACCCTCCAGAAGGCCACCACCCAGATGGGAGACAGACAGCAATAAGCATCAGAAGACAGCGGGTGGAACAATGGCTGTAATGAACATTAAAAAATATGCCACTTTTTTCCTTTTAAAATCAACTTTATCAATTTACATAATTTACATAAAATAAAATGCACCCACTTTAACAGTTTGTGAATTTTGACAAATGTACAGGCCCATGCAAGCCCCACCGGAGTCAAGACGTAGACTGTTTCTTCCGCTTTAGAACGTCCCTGTGCCCCTTTCTAGCCAGTCCCTTCCACCTTGACCCCAGGCAACCACCGATCAGCTTCCTGTCACTGTAGAGTTGTCTTACCTTTTCATGAATGTCGTATAAATAGACTCAAAAATGGTTTTTTGTTTGGCTGATTTCATTCAATATAATATGTTGCTGATTCATCCACACTGTTGCGTGTATCTGTAGTTCACCCCTTTATACTGTTCAGTAGTATTTCATTGTACAACTATACCACAATTTGTATATTTGCCATTGAATAGTCATTTGGGTTGTTTTTAGTATTGGCTAAGGATGAATAGAGCTGCTATGCATATTCCTGTATAAGTCTTTTGGTGGACATATTTCTCTTGAGTCGATACCTATGAATGGAATTCCTGGGTCATAATGTACGTTTAACTTTATTAAACATGAAATTGTATATGTAAATTGCCATCCCCACCAGCAATATATGAGAATTCCAGTGGTCCACAACCTCGCTAACACTTGGTATTGCAGCCTTTTCAATTTTCGCCATTCTAGAGGGTGTGGCATGGCATCTCATTATAGTTTTAATTTGAAAAAAAAATGCACCACCTTTGATTTATTTCTAAGCTTTTGTTTTTCTGTTCAGGGTTTATGTTTAACCTTCACCCTGAGAAGGTCCATGTTCTTTGGCACTTAACAGCCAACTTGCTGCGAGAGGGGGAAGCCACTTTTCAAGAGTGACTATTTGTCCTTGAGGCACAAGGTGGGGTTCTCATTAAGTTAAAAAGTCTGGAGGCCAGACTTTCCTTCTTCACACTCAGCTTTCCTATTGCAATGGCCACAGTCAGGTCATGGAAACTCCTTTGAGAACACATCATTCCTGCCGCTGCTTTTTCTAGGATCTTCCTGTGCTATTGCCACCATTAAACAACAGCCTCAGGAAAGCTTGAATCACTCTCTCAAGTGGACTCTTTTTTTTTTGATGAGGGGTGGAGGGAGGGAGGAAAAGAGGGAGAAAAAAATCGGTTGGTTGCCTCTTGTACGCAACCCAACTGGGGACCAAATCCACAACATAGGCCTGTGCACCTACTGGGAATCAAACCAGTGACGTTTTGCGCTACGGGATGATGCCCAATCAACTTGACTCACACCAGTCAGGGCAGTAGACTCTTAAATTTCCCTTTTTTACCCTTCTATTGATAATGAGCTCTGGTGCTAAAGTGGGTTTATCTCACCATGACTGTCATCTACCTAAAGCCCTGTGGTGACTTACTATTAGAAAGCAAATCAGAACCAAGATTTTATGCCTTTCCTTGAAAGCCGTTTGCCAGGTCCTGCGTATTGGTTAGGACGGATACTGTTGCAGGGAACAGACATTAGTTTAAGGAAAGTGGATATGATTGCTCGTGTTAATCGCAAAGTCCAGAGTGTGCCAACATTCAGGGCTGAATTGATTCGGTGGCTCACTGATGTAATCAGGATGCAGTTTCTTCTCACCTCTTTTCTCTCCTGTTGCTGTCATTCCTGTGATTGGCTCCCCCTTGTGGTCACAACATAGTTGGCAACAACCTCCTTCGTCCATTGTCCTCAGAACTTCTGAGCAATCCTTGGGTTACACACCCATCCCTGAACCAGTCAGTGGGGCCAGGGACGGGATTCCTCACAGCCACACGCTCCATTCCTAGAGCCACAGTAGAACTGGCTTCCCCGAAGTCGCTGGGGCATATGCGTGTGGTGGGGATGCTGAATAAAAACGAGAGTGGTTAGGTAACAAGAGGACAGGAAAGAGGTGTGGGGGAGGCGGCGGCAAGATCTGCTACATTCTGGATTTAGGTATTCTGAGTATTCTAGTTTAAAACTCTGCCATTGACATGGACGTTTTCTCAAAAAGTACCTTCTGAACGAAATGTTTCCTCAGTCAACATCTTTCTTGCCCCTCTCACCGTTCCTCAGTGTCTGCAAAGTGGTCGCCCCTGCAAAGCCAAGCACTTCCCCCGAAGCCCTACTTCCTTTCGTACATATGCCAAACAGCTAAATTGACTTGCTCCCTGACTTACCACAATATGTAGTTGAATCTTCCCTATGGTCTTAAATCATCAGCACTGGCACGTCTATCTCACCTTCTCTCACAGCTGTCTGCTTACAGTTCACATCTGGCAAAATACTGGCAAGAGAATTTTTACGGGAGGCCAAGCTAAATGCTTCTTAGGTTATCACCTTTTCGTATATGTGCGCACCTAGCTTCATATGTCCAGATTACTTTTTTCTGTGAAAAGTCATCTTTCCACTAAAATAATAATTGTCTAGGGGACAGAAATAGCAACTCTAAATTGATTTCCTTCTATCCAGGGCTGCATCTTCAGTTACTGTTTTTAATGGTCTGTGCTCTACGCAGAGATATTTTATGGCTTTGAGATCTTTAGTGCGCAGATACCCTGAAGGGATTTTCCTGTGAAGGGCACAATTTAAAAATGTACAAAAATAATTGATATTGAACATTCTTGTCTCCAGCTTCTCTTGCAGTTTTTCAAATACTGGCTACATATTTATCTTTTGGGGCTATAAGCTGGAAATAGCAATGGAGAGAGATGAATTCCCTAAAGCATTTCATTGATTGGCCACGAGTGGGTAAATACATCAAATTGAAAATCCACCCAAATCCATCAAAGGAAACGTGCTGGTTTTGGAAGGGCTCAGAGGTGAACGCACGTGGTGACGGCAGATGGCAGGGAAGAGTTTAAGCGCACAATAGACCACCCCAGTTACAACATTTTTCAGAAGCCTATTCTTCCTGTTAGGTTGGCTGTGCGGCATGTGGCTTTGTATTTTCCTTCTTTCTTAGAAGAAAAATTAAGGCAAACCCAGTTCAAAACTTATAGCTTCATCTGAACAATAGAGACTCATTTTGTTGTCTAAAAACCTACACTTAAAAATTATTCTTGAACAAAGTCTCTTGGTATTCAAAAGAGGAAATAATAATTTCCTTTCGGTTAAAAATACATGCTGTTTTTTTGTTTTGTGTTGTGTTTTGGTGAACTCTCAGATCACCACAAAGGGTCACGCTCCTGGAGAACCAGAGGTAAAGAAAGACAGGACAGCAAGTGACCCTGCAGGGACACAGGCAAGTCACTGCTCTCTTGAAATAGGTCTGTTCGGTGCTACCGGTTCAAGAAAGACCTACATTTGTAGTCTATTTGGAATATGTCTCAAAGTGGTTTATGGAACATTTTACCCCAGAAGTTGCTTCCTTTAATGTAGGCATGATTACAGAAATCTCACACACACACACACACACACACACACACACACACACGGGGAGACGGGGCGGGGGTGGGGGGAGAGGGAGACAGACGGACAGACAGACAGAAAAGCGGGCTTCTTTCTTTATGACTGTTTCCAGAAACAGATTTGCTGAGTTATAGTTTTTCTGCCTTTATTGAGACTTGATGGCAGTATAAAGTACTTAAAAAAAATAACCCACGGATTACATGGAAGATGAATATGCCTCTGTGAGTGTGAGTGATGCACAGAGCAGAGAGCACAGACTCTGATGAGTTATTTCTGCTTTTCTTGCAAAATGAGTGCGTCACAGGCTGTCCCGGTGATGACCGGGGAGATGCAGCTCCAAAGAGATCGCAGCGCTGATCCCCTGCAGGTCTGTGTAGCTAAAGCTTCGCCTTCATGGCCTGCTAAATGCTGGACTCGGAGGGGCTGCCTGTGCCCCCAGCACACACCCTTCCCACACATCCGTGCGCTACACCACCTTCCACCTCTGGTGCCCCTGCCCACTGCTTCTTGGGACCCACGCCTCAAGGACATTCTTTACTGTTTCCTTCAAAAGTTTGGGGTGGGTGTTGTTAGACACTGAAGAAATCCCACCTCTCCTATATAGGGGTAAACAGAGCTTGGATACGGAGTTAGAATCCCGTAAACAGGAAGACCAACACAAACAGCAGAAAGCAGCAGCTCCCTTAAACCAGAGGTGGCAGGGGGCGTGTCTACAGAGTGAGTACAAGGCTGAAACTCTTTGCTGTCATCAATTATACCAACGTTTCTGTGGTTTTTTGTTTTTCAAAGAGGCTCATGTTGAAAAATCACCCAAGATACGCCGTTGTGGCAAGAACCACCCTGCCTGAAAACACTTCCTCTAAAGGCACATCTGCTTTGCTGACTGGGTCCTTCCCACCGCCTGATAATATCTAATAATGTTACAAAGTATCAGTGCTGGACATTGGAGATCTGAGAACTTTTGGTCCAGTATTTCCCACAAAATAGGTACACATATCATTGTGGTCAGCAAGATGATTGTAAGATACATGCAAGTATCTGTCCTTTTAATGGTTATTCCCTGATTTTAATATTAGAAAAAAAATACCACTAGCCCATCAGTCACAGGACTCGGCAGCACCACTTAACAAGAGCTCATTACCAAGCTCCAAGGCCAATGTCTCCTTAGAGGCTCTCTCGGTCTACTGATTGGCATGTGAGAACCATGGACACCAATGTCCCGGGTTGGGGAGAGAGGTCTCTCCGACCACCCTGCCCTAGTGGCCATGGGCAAGCATCTCCTAGCGACATTGTACCTGGAGAGCTCTGGGAGGATGAAGCATAGCACCCCACCTAGGGCTTCTGCAACAGGCCTCCTTTCTCAAATCAATATAACATTATTCAAGATTTTGAAACATTTAATCAAAAAAAAAACAAAACAAAAAAACCCTGGCATTTTAAAAGTTAGGTTTACAAACTTGACACTTTCTTAATATTAGCATTTTATCCATTTATACATTGTCGAAGAAAATAACAATAAGGTCTATTAAGACAACAACAAGATCTTTAAAAGGTCATTATAACCTATAGCACTTTGCAAATAAGTATCCAGTTTAATTGTAACAAACCACTGTGAGCAAATTTAACTAAGTATATAAAAACATTAGTTAAATATAATTCTCTGGAAATATACATTATACCTACAGCTGTTTTTACAGTGAGATTCTTCCTTGTTTTCCCCTCTCTCAATTCTCCAAATGGCAAATCACTGTATGGTCCTGGATCTCCAAGCTATAAAACTGAAATATGTGTTTCCAGCGTAGCAGATGGTGACCAGGAAGGCGAAAAACTGCAGGAAAAAAAAGCATAACAGAAAAGGGGTTTAGGGTGCATTCTCCTTCGCAAAGGTCATCATTCCCCCTGCCCTGAATCGTGCACCCAGCATCCCTTGGCTCCTGGCCTCCTCATCTAAAACTGCTTTACTGGCTCAATGACCTTCTTTCTGAAATAATTTCTAGCGATCTTGTTTTTCTTTTTTGGAACATATCTGAAAAGCCTATAGTTTTGCTCAAATACCCCCGGGGTAGCCCCCTGGGGGAGAATGGGGTGGGGTGCCTCTGAGAAAAGCACATATATTTCTAATTTTGTACCTCGGTCCCCCCTTGCACAGAGGGGATACATTCTGAGACCCCCAAGTGGATGCCTCAAACCATGGATAGTACCAGACTTTATATATACTGTTATTCCTTTTCTATACCTACATACCTATGATGAAGTTTAATTTATATATTAAGCACAGTAAGCGAGTAACAATAATAACAAATACCAAAATAGAACAATTATAACCATATACCGTAATAAAAGTTATATGAATGTGGTCTCTCTCTCTCTCTCTCTCTGATAACCTCTCTGGTAACAGAGAAGGCTACTAAGGGACTAAGGGCAGGGAGTCTGTGCCGCGTGGATAGGAGGGACAAAGGGACGATCCACGTCCCAGGCAGGACAGAGTGGGATGGTGCAAGATTTTATCATGATACTCAGAATCGCGCGCCATTTAAAACTTATGAATTGTTTATATCTGGAGGTTTCCACGTAATGTTTTCGGACTGTGGCTGACCGTGGGCAACAAATGGAAGAAAGCAAAACCACGGCTAACGGGGGACCACTGTATGGGCAATTTTAGACCAGGGCTTGACTGCAGATCGCCACAGGGCCAGTTAACCAAAACGGACCGAGCAGGCAGGAGGACGCGATGAGCCCGCGTGGGGTGTGCGGTATGAATGGCGAGCGTATGAATGGCGAGCGTATGAATGGTGAGCCGGAAAACGCAGGCCCCTCTTACAGCGCAACCTCCACCCAGTTCCAGAGAATTCTTGCTACGTGTTAACTGCAGCCTAGTGCTGCCAAAGCTTGTGATCTGTAATCTCGTGTGCCCCCATGCTCTCCATGCAGTAATTCTGAAATGTTAGTAAGAACGAGAATGAATGCCCACCTAGCACCCATCAGCTTTAACGTGATTGCTTCGGTACTCCTGTTTAACCGCTCCCGCCTAGGCCCCCTCCCAAGAGTTCTTTTGCGGATGGAATATTTTAAGGCCAATATTAGACAAACCTTTAAAGTCAGTTTTTTAATTAGAATAGCAGTGCACACTTAAGGTTTAAAAATGCAAACAGGACAGAGACACATTAATTATTGGGTTGGCGAAGGAGTTCATTTAGTTTTTTCCATACGATGGCTGTAATAGTGTTCAGTTGTGTTTAACTTCGTTCAAAACAATTTTGTTAGATTGTATCGTAACAGTTGTCATATCAGCGTGCATTTACAAAAAAACATCAAAATTGGTGAATTTTTGTGCAGCCATTTTAATACTGAAGATGGAAGAAGATTCACAACATTTTTGGCGTATTAGGCCTTATTATTTCAAGAAAGGTAAAAATGCAACTGAAATGCAAGAAAAGACTTATGCAGTATATGGAGAAGGTGCTGTGACTGATCAAACGTGTCAAAAATGGTTTGCAAAATTTCTTAGTACCATTGACATTTTGGCCAAATAATTCTTTGCTGTGGGGCTTTCTTATGCATTGGAAGATATTTAGCAGCGCCCCTGGCCTCTACCCACTGGAAGCCAATCGCGGGAGATAGCCCACATACTCAAAATATCCAAATCAGTAAAGTTATTGGTGAAAATGAAAAACGTGTTTTTTTTTATTTTACAGAAAAAACGAAATGGACTTTTTGGCCAACCCAATAAAAAGCAGAAGCCCTTCATTCCACGCTCTTCATCCAACCGCAGTCCCTGGAAGGAACCTCTCTGTTGGGATATGTTTTTCTAAGCATTCTCAATGTGTAAACAAACATTTCTACTTTTAAAAAAAAAGAACAAGCGAAGAGCATCACAGTGGGCTCATTTTCTGCAACTCTCTCCCCACTGAAGCTGCAGTCAGTACGATTATTCTTCGAATGCTTCAAGTATTTTTTTCTCTCTCCATCACTTGTTTTGTTCTAGCTATTTGGCTCTCGCTCAGGCAGAGTCTTTCAGCCTCTGTGCGCTCCGGCCAGGAGGCCCCGCCAGTGCGCGGTGCTTTCAAGCCAGTCAGCTCATTGCCCGGGTGTCGTACTGCAGGTGGTGCTTTTTCCGGTGGACGACTCTGTCCTCCTCCTGATCCCCAGAGGGCCTCAGGGGGGAAGGAGGAGAGCTCATGGGGGCACGGATGAGAGGGCTCACTCACCGACGAGGCAGCCCAGCTGTTGAAGTTGTGGCTGTCCCTCTCTGGGGAGACGGAAGACGCATCCACAATAGCCGCTGAGAGGTACAGGACGAAGGCGCTGCCATTGAAGCACAGACCCTGCGGGAGACAGACGGGTAGGGTAGGGAGGTCCGGGCACCTCGGAACCTCAGAAGTGGCCCGGACGGCGCCCCAGATGGGGTCAGGAGCTCATCTGGACCCCTGGGAGAGGGCAGGCGACAGGGGCTCTGAGAAGGCAGCTCACCCACGTTTTGGGGAGGAGACGGTTTTACACCGTCTTATTCACAGCGCACCCTCCTTCCTTCCCCAACACACCCAGGCTGCCCTTGCCCCTTCAAGGGGGTTCTCTCTCTCTCTCAGTTTGCTCTTGGCCCTCGTTTCATCCAATGTCAGCCCTGGTGACACACTGGCTGAGGAAGGAAGGTGGCAGAAGGTGGCCCCCATGAGATGGGCCTCAGCCCCTGCAGCCTCCCCCTTCAGCACCCGCCCTGGGCGAGGGGAGCCTTCCCCAAGGCAGGCCCAGCTCCTTTCCTGACCCCTCGCTCCGGGCAGGGAGGGCCATGTAGGGGAGCTCCTCAAGCTGCTGTGAGTTCTTACAAATGAAAAGGAGATTATACATATTAATGGAGCCCTTTGGGAACCCTTTGAAGCCCATGGCTTCACTTTAATTTTTCCTATTCTCAGAGAGGGGGAGCTTTGTAACTCCAAGAAGGTATTTGGTTTTCAGTTATATTTAAATTCTAGGAAACCATACTCTGAAAATGTTCAAACTCGTTCCTATCTGAACAAACGGGAAGGGTGGGGCAAAATCAATGCTTCACACAGGTGGAAAGAGGGGTGTCTCTTCAGGAATAGCACCCCTAAGGTCTAACTATTATCCCTTCATAATTCAGAGACACAGAGATGGTAGGGGAAGGGAGAGGAGGTGGTATCTTTTTCTTCTCAGACAAAAAAAAAAAAAAAAAAAAAAAAAAAAGGCACATAGAATTTTCCAGTTGAGGCTCTAGCGTTGTGAGACAGGTTGTGTATCCCTGTCGCCACCCCTATACTTTGCTCACATTGTTCCTTGGTTAGGGTGATTCACTTGTAAGAAAAGGTCAGTCTCAGGGTGCAGGCCACCGAGGATGCTCATCTACCATTACAAAGTGTTCCCAGAAAGCCCTGATTTCTCTGGATGACGCAGTATGCTTATTAGTTGTGGGATTTTTTTTTTTTTTTGGCAGTTGGGGGGTGAGGGGGCAGTTCCAGGAACCCACATGTGCATTTTTAAATACTTTTTAAAAACACTGCACATTACTCCTTGAGGTTTGCATATTTGCTATTTGCCAAGTAAAGGATTCCCCACTATTTTTAAGATGCAGAAACAATTCAATGTAGTTACCTCTGAGGAATGGAAAACTTTAGTTTTCATTTTGCATCCTTTTATGGGTGGGGTTGAACTTACTTTTTCTTTAGTAAACTAGCCATATATTATTTTTGAAACATTAAAATGCCTTTTTTTAAGACTTTATTTATTTATTTATTTTTAGAGAGCAGGGACTGGAAGGAGAAAGAGAGGGAGAGAAACATCAATGTGTGGTTGCCTCTCGAGTGCCCCCTATTGGGGAACTGGCCTGCATGTGCCCTGACTGGGAATCGAACCGGCAGCCTTTTGGTTTGCAGGCTGGCGCTCAGTCCACTGAACCACACCAGCCAGGGCTAAAATGGTTATTTTGGTAAAAGACAATGCGTATTCATCATACCCCAACAAAATCCAGTCTAGACAGAACCACCTGGGGTAAAGGCCAGCACCTTCTTTTCCACCTCAACCCCGGCCTCTGGGGTAGAGGCAAACACTCACTTTCATACAAATGGAGCCACACAGTTGGTACTAACACTTCACAGTCTAGCTTTTCCCCTATGGAAAGGCATTTTGATGTTCCTAGTGTTTCTGGGATTATAAACACTACGTTAATGAACATCTCTGAACATGTATTCTGGGGCACCCATGTATGTCCAGTCCCCACAAAAGGGGTCAAGATGAATGAGAGGACACTCCAAGAGAGCTCACCTGGCCAGAACGCCTTGATTTATTGAGACAGGTCCTGGGTCTCACCCACATAGCTGCGTGGATGAAGGGGGCCAGTGAGAAAATGGGGAGAAGCCACTCTGACTATATGACTTGTGAACTTCCTGAGTATATGGCCCTGTCCCTAATTAACTGTGGCCCAATCCATTTTTCTAAGGAACTGAGAAGCTCCCTATTTCCCCCGGAACCAAGAGGGGACGGGGGTGGTAGAGAGATAAATAGGAGGTAGAGGCACTCTCTCCCCATAAACCTTCCCACGGGGGCCCTAGCGGTTGGTCTCATCCAATCAGCTGAAGGTCTGAACAGAACAAAAAGGTGGACACTCCCACGCGTCAAGAGGGAACTGCTCCTGCCCCACCGCTTTGAGCTGGAGCATCAATCTCTTTTCCTGACTTTGAACTTGAAAAGAAATATTGGGTCTTCTTGAATCTTGGGCCTTCCAGCTTTTGGACTCGAGTTTACTTACACCCTCGGCTCTCCTGGGTCTTCAGCTTGCTGACTGCAGATCATTGGACTCCACAGTCGCGTGAACCAACTCCTTACAGTAAATCCTGTTATACACATCTGTATACGCATCCTATTGCTTTTGCTCCTTTAGAGAACCCTAACTAATACAGAACCCTAACTAATCCTGATAGAATTTGGTACTAAGAGTAGGGTAGACAGATTTTAGAGCCAGGAGTGGAGGGCTCCTGTGATAAATCCCCCAAATTCTGGAATGCCTTTGGGACTGGGTAATGAGAAGAGCTGAGTGCTGGAAACGTGAACATTAACAGCGACTCCGGTGTAGGCTCAGAAAGCAGAGAGGGAAGCTGGGGAGAAGGCTTCATCTTCTTAGAAAACACATAAATAATCGTAAACAGAATGTTGGTAAAAATATGGGTGTTAAAAGCGATTCTACTGAGGCTACAGATGAAAGAGAGAGAGGACCGTGTTATTGGACACTGGAGGAAGGGTGATCTGTGTTATAAAGTGGCAAAGAACTTGGCCAGACTGTGTTCTAGTGTTTTGTAGAAGGTCAAACGTGCAAGTTATCAAATTGGATATTTAGCGGAGGAAATTTTTAAGTAAAGTGTTGAAGGAGTGACTTTGGTCCCTCCTGCCTGCTTATAGTAAAACGCAAAACTGACCAGAGGACTAAATTCCATCCTCCCAAGCGGGCAAGGGACAAGAAGAATGCCTGGCTGCCTTACCACGGTTGTCCAGGGCACCTGGGGAATCCTCGTGTAGGTCATTGTTATGTAGAGGATGAGGAAGAAGACGGTGAGGACCCAGTAAAATACAGCTACAAACATGACCCAGCCAAATGCAGGGACTCGAAAGTACTCAGTTCCAGCGATAAGTGTCCATACCAGCAGCCCCAGAATCTGTGAAATGATCGAGGCAGGGGGAAAGGGAGGAGAAAGGAGGAGGTAGAGAAAAACAAGGGGACAGAGAAAAAAAATCATCAGAGAGTGTCAATTTCAACCTTCATCCATACACCCACATATTTACAAATATAATAGGGGTTACAAACTGACATGCCCACAGAGGCCAGGAAGCTAAAACAAATGAACATGGTAGGCTGGGCAGAGACCATGGCAAACAAGAAAAACCATGTCTTGTTTTAAGGGGTCATCTCTACCCAGCTCCAGCCAATTGTTGTGGGCTGATTTCTACCCCCGCACCCCCCCAGGAGAACACAGGAACTCAAGTTTCTACATGATAACCTTGATTTTTAAATGTTGGCACTAACAGTTTTCAAACATCATGAGGGAAGAAGACTGCGGGCCCACTTGAGGCGGTCCCTGGACTGGTCTACTCCCAGGGGATGAACCTCTGAGGATTCTGCACCTGCTACAGCTGCCCTGCTTGCAGGTGGCAAATAAGCTGTGGTCTGGGAGGGCTTTCAGAAGGGAGGATAAGCAAGGGCCCATCCAGATGCGGCGTTCAGCATTTTAACCTCAGCGGCGCACGTACTCGGCGCCAGCCATCTACTCTTCACCACTGCTGGTGGGCAAGGCCAAACCCAAAGCCGAGTTGTCGTCACCATGGCCTAAAGGAGGACTTCATCGGGGGGGAAAGAGGCTAATCTAAATTCTAGGCATGCCAGTCCTGAACAAAGGAAGGCCGAGCGAGGTATGCATCTCACGCTCCAGTGCCATTCAAGAACCAGGTTCCTAACCCATGAAAAAATTAGCATCCAACAAAATAAAAGACAAAACAAACAGATAAAACAACAGACAAATAATAATTTAAAAAAGAGGAAAAGCTGGGGTGGCTCCGTGGATTGAGTACCCACCTGCGAACCAAAGGGTCGCCGGCTTGGTTCCCCGTCAGGGCACATGCCTGGGTGACGGCCAGGTCCCCAGCAGGGGGAGTGTGAGAGACCCCCCCACACTGATGTTTCTCTCCCTTTCTCCCTCTTTTCCCCTCTCTCTAAAAATAAATACATAAAATCTTTAAAAATAATAAAAAAGAGAGAAAAATTAATATCTAAACCATGTCCCCGAGACAGCACCAGGGCCCTGGCCGCACGGCCTGGCCTGCTGTGTGACTTGGGACAAACTGCAAGGTCTCCCATCTCCAACAATGTGGTTCTCAAACAGCCGTGCTGATGAATTAAGTTCGAGGACCGAGGTTCTACTATATTTCGTTTCTGTTTTGGCTTTCTTCATGGCACGTGGAACAGAATACTAGGTCACTTTCAGCCACAAAGCTAGGACGGTAGTTTTCACCCATTTGTCTAGCAATGGAGGGCACCTAAAATACGCCAGGCTGCCCGCTCTCCGGCCCCGAGGCCAGAGTAGAGCACACACACAACTTCAAGTCTGGCGCGGCAAGTATCTGAATAAATACAATTACGAAAAAAATGCTACAAAGGGAAATAAGGGTATGATAAGGGACTGTGAGGGGGTACAACCTTGCTGGCAGGCATGGGAAGCGTCAGGAAAGGCCATGCTGGAGAGTAAGTAACCTGAAGTTGCACAGAAAGCAACACTCTAGGCAGAGGTTAAGAGCTTTCTGCCTTCTAGAACGTGTGCAGAAGTGTAATAAAGACATCGGTGCAAAATGGTAGAAACGTTGGGAAGGGTCAGATAATGTGGGCTCAGGACACTTAAGGATTTTGTATTTTATCCTAAGGCAGCACGAAGGTTTTGAGCTAGACAACGATTCGATCAAGTTCAGTTTTGCTAAGACCACTCTGAATCCATCTATATCCAGGGTTCCGCATGTGCAAATTCAACCAGCTGGGGACTGAAAATACTCGGAAGAAAAAAGTTATATTATTGCCGATGTGCACTATGTAGTTAGGTCTACAATGGTGTTGTCTGGGGACTGAATACTGACAGATTTTTTCCTTGGCATTATTCCGTAAACAGTACCGTGTAACAACTATTAACATATCACTTATACTGTCTTAGATATAAGCAATCTAGAGATGATTTAAAGTATATGGGAAGATGTGTGTGAGTTATATGCAAATGCTGCCCAACTTTATATAAGGGACTTGGGCATCCTTGAATTTTGGTACCTTCAAGGGTCCTGGAACCAAACCCCTGCAGGGATCAAAGGACAACTCTATCAAGACCAATGTGCTGGCAGTGAATATTGAGAAGTGAGTGAATTCAGGACAAATTTCAGAAGCAGACAGGACTTTAATAGATTCAACAGATTAAATTAGGATAAAGGGGAATGACCCCCAGGTCTCTGGAAAGACTTAAAAAGTGCATTAGCATGCCATCTCCTCGATGGAAGAATGAAACGGGAACAGGTTAAGGGTTGATCTGAATAACGGTTCATGAGCTCCATTTTCACCCCCCCCCGCCCCCACAGGATGAGGTAGCTGGGGTCCTCCAGAGAGGGATGAGAAGAGGTGGATGCTGCAGGGACATTAGTTCAGGCTCTTGTTTAGGGAGGAAGATTTACTGAGAAGATCCTTAAGCCTCCAGACATGTTTCCAAGGGACAATGGAAACTGCTCACTGGGAGAAGCCCACCTCCCTGTCCCTACTTGGATGTCTGAGCTGGAGAGCAGGGAATAGACTCTAAATGTTGCTGTTTGCTCTCTTGAGAGCTGAAATTTGACATTCTTTTATCTGCTTGATACTGACTATAAATTCCAAAGAAATGCTTAATGAAGATGTGTTTTTGTGCTTGCATCTGCAGCAACAGAATTTATGGAAAGTGAAGATGCACAAAATGAAACAGAATTCCAGAGAGTGCCAAGCCTCATGCTAATGGGGCTCTGGGGTCGAATTCACTGTAACTGACAGGTAATCTATTCACGTACATTTAACATTCCATTGGATCAGTAAGACTGGCAATAGACATAATCCAACATGGCAGGGTCTGAAACAACATTGCTGGCTTCTTGATTCCAGCTGAAAGGGTCAGGGCAGCCCTTTGCTGATGATCCTCACAGGAAACATAACCGTTCACGAAGACGCATTGCAAATGGGGTCAGGGTTTCTCCAGGGGAGTGTTTAAGAATTTCCAGCCCAGGCTTGTGTCCAGCTAAACAGGCTTAGCTCCAGGCTCTTGGCTCCCAATGTGAAAATGTTTTTCATTATTAAAACAAGCTGCGTCCACTGTCTAACGATGCTTTGTCTAATATACTAGCAGTGATCATCTGTCACACACAGGGACAATATCGTTAACTGAGCCATCTCTCAAAGAGCAGGAATACAAGACCCATGACCTCACCAGCAAACAGTAAAAAGAATGCCCCGGTTAAGAAAAGAATTGGTCTACCCCTGTGAATTTCCTAGGTAACCAAAATAGGTCTAGAAGCAAACCTTTTGTCTCTCCCTGTAACCAATACTGATGAAAATCAGTCTACAAAAATGTTATTCACCTCCTGCTTTGTGTGTGTGTTTAGGACAAACTCTAGATCTTTAGTTGCCTACATTACAAAATTACTGTTTGTTTTTTCACCGATAAGCATTTTCTTAGGCTAAGACGTTTTTAAGTGGTAAAGCTAAGACAAAAAAAATTTCAAAAGTGATAAATGCAGGTGAAAATAAACACAGAATTTTATATATATTTGCTTACTATATATAGTAAGCAAAGAAATGACAACCTTCATCCACCACCTGTAAATTCTCAAGAGAAACCAATATACAAATTTTATATCTACCGATCTTTCCCTCGCATTTATAACTACCATCCGCATACCCTTTTCTTCCTCCCTTAGATATATGAATCACTCTGTGTGCATGGTGCCCATAACTTGCTTCTTTCAGTCAGCAGTCCCATGGAGGACCCCCTTCCATGCTACCACACACAGATCTATGCCAATTTTAACAGGTGTCTGTAATTGAACAGTTTTCCATAACTCACATTGCCAGTTCCCTATGGAGAAGAATTTAGTTGCCTCCTTTATGTTTGTATAAAAATGCCCAGGGAACGTTCTTATAATATCTACCTCTGCATAGCGGAAACCCAGGGGCTGACTCCTGGAAGTAGAATTTCTAAGATATTTTAACCTGCAGAGGCACTGCCAACTAACTCATCAAAAACCCTGTACTAATTTATCCTCTCATCAAGTGTAACCACGCTCTTCCCTTCCACCCTCACTGAATTCCCATGTTTGAAATGATTAAAAACCCAATTAAGAAAAGAGAGTTCTGGTTTTGTCTTTTACTGCTACCGAAATACAGCACAGAGAGAAGTCTATGAATCCTAAGCGAACAGGAGCGCAACGATTTTCCCCGAGCTGAAGGAACCCCTGTAACCACATCCAGAAACAGAAGACGGCCAGCTCTGGGAAGCTCTGTCCTCGCTCCCGGTCGCTCCTTCCCTCCTCCAGGAGCCAGAGCTCCCCCCCCCCCCCCGCCAATCGCTATCATCCTCGGTTACTCCTGCTTGTTTGTGAACTTCCCTTAAATGGAATCCTTCACATAATATGCACTCTGATACTTGGGTTCTTTCACTCAACACTGTGAAATTTATCCATGCTATTGAGTGTCATCCATTCACTGTCCTGGGCACGGAGCAGTGATTATCAGACATGGGTGAGCGCCAGCCCACCCGGAGGGCTTGGTAGACTGCAGAGCTGGTGATTCAGTAGGTCTTGGGCCGGATCTGAGAATTTACATTTCTAACAAGTTCCGGGTGATGTTGATGCTGTTGGTCCAGGGGCCACCGATCAAGTATCACCTACCCAGTATTCATTTTTCTTGTTTTACTTTGCATTGCCCTGAGCAATGGTTAGAAGGGTAGAGCATCTTTTCAAATGCTTATTAGCCACATCTAGTTTTTTCCTCATTTATTGATAAATTTTTTTTTAAAAATCACTTTTTTACTCATTTGTAGAAATCTAAGAGGGATGGTAACTAATTATATAGGTGGCAATATTTTCCCCATCCAACTTCTTTTTTTTTTCA